TAAAGGGGGTAGTGCATGCACGAAAGCCAAGTCAGGAGGGTGGCACTGATGATGCACCTAAGGAAATGCTCTGCTAGCAGCAGAACAGAAGCCTCCTCCTCTTTTGCTACGTCCACACATTCCTGCTGTTTCTATTACTCTGCCACCAAGTCTCATCTCACCCCAGTGAGCCAGTACACACACGCACATGAGGAAAAAAAAAGAATCCTCCTCCACAAAAACTGTTTTTGCTGATTTAGCCTCATTGACCCACTCATTAGAAGGATGACAAGTGCCTCAATGACCTTAATGCCCATTAACAAACTGCATCCCAAAAACTGCTTTGAGGTCTTCAGGGACGATAAGTGAGGATGGAAGCAGAGTGGCAAGCACTTTAAAGGGCTTCTGAGATTTTGAAAATGAATCGTGCTACAGACAGCACAAGGAGGACAAACTCAAACACTTCTCTAACTTTTCACGCTGTATTCATTGCCATGGTTTCTGGAAGCTTTCTGCTCCGTGGAACATCCTTCCTTTACAGGGAGAGACTAGCAGAGCTGCAAGCCAAGGGGCAAATCTTTGGACAGCCAGCCTTTCAACACAGGAATTAAGCACAAAGTTAATGGTATAATCGAGGTGACACAGGCTTGAACAACATTTAGCACAAACTTCAGGGTAACACCATACTTTTCTACAGGCAGCAACTTCATTTATGCTTTAAGCAGATTAATAAAAAAACCCGTACAGTGCTTCCCGTGAAGCTCAGTGTCACAAATGATCGAGTAAAACCTCTGCCTCCAAGGAATCCTCCCGTCTCCTCCAAACTCAAAGTTTCTGTTACCTAAACTTAAGGGGAAAAAAATCCCCTTGCACAGGATAGACAAAGGAGTTGGTTCCAGCTGTAAGCCAACAGTTTTCTACAACTTCTTATTTTCCAAAGGTTTCCTCTGGCTGCCAAGCACTGCAAAAAAATCTTCCCCAGCGCACATGACACTGGGCAGCTGTTTCGAGCACCATCTCAGAGCAGCCTGTAGGAAGGATGGAAGCCCCTTTTCGTTCACACCACAGGGAGCCAAGGTGAAGAACCCACAGAGGCAGAGCAATAACCTGGCACCAAGTCAGCAGGTCTCCTTCCAGTTTACTCGTGGGCAAATGCAGGGACCCTTCACTGCCAGAACATTTCAGAAGAGAACTGAATACATCCCTAACAGTGCTGGTTAAGAGCAGCAGCAAGGAAGCACATTTCTGTGATGAGCATCTTTGCCATCATCTGCTAAATATGAACATGGCCTGCACAGTAGCAGTGTGCTGCTCAAGCCATAAATGGAGGAATACATCATACTCTTAATGCAAAACAAACAAGCAAAACTCAAAAAACAAGAACACACAACTGCAAAGAGGAGTAAAGCCCTCTTCTTAAACATGGAGCTAGAAAAAATATCTGATAACTTGACAAGAGCATTTCTAAGGGCTGGTAAATGCCTACACTTGACTTCCCCAAGACCAAAATTCCCGTTTAGAAGCTCCCATGGGAGTCTGTGATAAAAGGGTGATAAATATCACATCACCAGCTCAAGCTGTGGTCAAGGAGCACTCACAAAGCACTTGCTCCTCAGGCGGAGCTGCCATTAAACAGTTCAGCCAGGCTGCAGAATAATCTGCCCACTTGAAACACGGCTTTAATTTCAGTGGCAGCACTAAGTCAAGCCCCAGGAAGGGCATGAAAGGGAACCAGGCTGCTCTGCAGGAGCAGGAGCAGACTGGGGAAGCGGGAAGGCCGCAACGCCTGTCGGTCCCAAAACAAGCGCACCAGCTCCAGTTGTAGTATTCATCTGGGAGAGAAGGAAGGAGAAAGGGATGCCCCGCTGCACCCTCTGCGCACGCTCGCACACCCAGAAAGGGTCCTTTTCATTTAAGCACAACCCACACACACCAGAAAAAGCGGCTGGCCCCGGCTTAGCCAAGACGGCGAAACAAAGTCTGCTCCTTGCAAGGCCATCTTGCCCCGCTCGGTTTACATGCCGACGCCTCGGTGCACGTACCTCCAATTAGCAATTCCTCATCCACACGCTTCTATTCTGTCTCCTGCAGCTCCTGCCTGCACAGGCCTGTCAGCTGTTACTGCTTACACGAATCCAGGCCTGGAGCTCCCTGAACTCCACACACTGCAAGTTTACGGCAGAGATGAATGAATACGGAGAACTGCTTTTGCTTGGCTTGGCTTTTCTCTCTCGCCTTTATTTTCTCCAAGAGAAAAAGAGTTTGAGAATTTTTGACAATAACGTTTGTCCTTTCAAAAATAACTGATTTTTATGTAGCTTCCTTTTACGTAAGTTTTGCCAGCGCAGGATAACGCAAGCGTGTTACCATATGGCACGCCTACCAGAACTATCTTTAATTTCTTCCTTGGAGATTTAGGCTACAGTACCTGCAACTATGCTGTAATTTCCTTTTAGAGAAAAATCGTCAAGCTGGATTTTTTGGAACTGACGATCTTTCTCATCGCTTTTTCCTTTCCTCCTTTTTTAAGAGTCAAGACACCCTATTTAAACATCGTTGAAGTTGACAAAAACTGTTTTCCAAAAGGGAAAGACCATGAAGCCAAAACAGTGTTGCCGAAAGCGACAACCACTGTTAAAATCCAATTCCACTAATTCAGTGACTCCTCTCAAAGACTTCTTATAATGCTAACCATAACAAGAAAAGACAATGATTCCCCTTTTCTTTTTTCTCTTTTTTTGTTTTTTCACTGCATGTAGCTTTATATGCCACGGGCCCTAGCAACAGAAAAGAATAGCACTGGATTTGTCTGCAGACAAGGACCTTTCGAGGGGGGCCCCAGGCGCCCTGTGCAAACGTTATCTGAGCACAATTGCCCTGTTATGTGACTGCAAGCAAGTCCGCAAGCAGAACTCGGCTCCTGATACTGCACTTGACTGTCAAACCGACCAACTCCAGCCAAGCCACTGATGATAAACCTGTGTGGCAGGTTCGCGGCAACTTGGAAAACGTTTCTAGTAGGTGGATAATAATACCTTCATCTGCTGCATCTTTATTATGAGCTTAAAACTGGGTTCACATAAACGACGACGACTCGATCCCTGAAGCAGAGAGAACGGGGACAAAGAAACAACTCTGTTACTCCACACCCTGGAAACCCTTCCTGCTATGAAAAATATGTGGGGTTTGCAGTGCAGAATGCCCATGTGAGCCAGGCCTGTTAAAGCGTAAACATATACAACCACTATCACTGAATGACTCAGGGAAGATAACAAGAAAATCATATTGGAGAAAAGGTCATCCTATCTTTCCAGACACTTATATATGTGTGTGTACATATATTACTTGCTGGTATCTAAGAGGAAGCTTCCCCTGGCTCCCCTGAGGCCTACTCGGCATCTTTATGGGCCCGTTGGATTTCTGGAAGGCACGAGCAAGGTGCTGTCCCCCAAACTCTCCCAGGCACGTCCCAAACGGCTGTGCCACCGCTTCCAGCTTCGCCCCGCAGGAACTTCAGCTTCACTCTCTATTTTCCAACCAACAGGACTACTGAAAGCCATGGCTTCGCTTTCCCGGCTTTCGGGAGGGTCTGGAAAATTCAACAAGTATCTCATTACTGCCTTGGACAGGGTGGAGGGTCTCATGCTTCCCATGCCACGGGCGGCAGGGTTTCATGCTTCCCATTCGAACGCCACGGGCGGCAGGGCTCCCTCACCCGCAGCCGGCGGCGTTGGCGACCCCGTCCCCCTGGCAGCAGCTGGGAATCACGAAGCAGGGGGACAGCCGGGCCTCTCACGAGGAGCGGGACGGTCTCTTGCACCGGCCTCTGGCCGCCTCTCGTCTCCCTTGGGGCGACAGGCCGCTCGCGGGGTGGCTGCCGGGGCCCGTGGACGTGGAGCTCAGCGGGGCCGCTGGGCCCCGGGAGCCCCCCACAGGAGCCGGCCCTGGCCCGACGGGGGCCCGGGCTCGAGCCTAGCGGGGCCCCGGCTCGAGCCTAGCGGGGCCCGGGCTCCGCTCGCACCCCGGGCGCCCCTCCGAGCCCCCCGCGCCCGCCGTCCCCAGCGCCATCTCCACAACACGCCCGCCCGGAGCTGCGCGAAACGCCCGGCGAGCCCGGCCCGGCCGCGCCGCTGCCCCGCGCCCTCCAAACGCCCTCGCGGCGGCCGTTAGCGGCCGTTGGGCAGCGGCCGTTAACGGCCGCCGGGGCGCGGCCGCGTCCCGGGCAGGGCGGCCGCGGGGCCGCCATGGCTCCCTGCCGCCCCCCGCGCCGCGTGGGCGGCCCCGACTCACAACAAGAAGCTCATGGCGGCGGAGCGGGAGCGGGAGCTGGAGCGGCGGCAACGGCAACGGCCTCGGCGCGGCTCCCAATGGCAGCGGCGGGAAGGGGCGGGACGGGACGGGGCGCCCGCCCGCCGCCGCCATCGCGCCCGCCCCCTGCTCCTCAAAATCCGCCTTTTTCCTCCCCAAAATCCTGMCCGCCATCCCCCCTGCCCCTCGGACCCCCCCCAGCCCTCCAGACACCCCCCAACAACCCCCCCGCGCCCCCAAATCCTCCCTCTGGAGAGGTGCCCAGAGCACCAGAGCCTTTCCCTCCGCTCCAGCATTTCGTGCCGGGGCCTCAGTCCCCGCTCGGAGCTTCCTGAGGGGGTCAATACGTGAGATCTCCCCCACTTTCCGGCTGCACCACAGCGGGGGTCGGCCGCCGCACGTACAAATATCAACACCAGGAATAGGAGAAAAGCGGAATCTCGCCTGCATTTCTGCCCTCCTCACATAGCCAGCCCTGGCTGCTCTCTAAACCCACACACACACACACAAAGGACTTTGAGCAAGTCCCAAGGATAAATGTTGGCTTTGCGAGCACTCCTTGGCAAAGCTGGCGGGCAGCTGAGGACGGACACAGCTCTCAGCACAGACAGGGCCACTTGCAAGCTGCTCAGGTTAAATCCCTCGCATCCTCCCTTCACCCGGGGCAGGTTTCCACACCGCCCGTGCCCAACCTCTGCCCTGAACCTCCTCACCGAGCACAGAGCGTGGGTTAAAACCTGCGTGTCCTCTCACACGTGGAAACATTACATACATAACAAAGGTTCAGCAAAGGAAGCTTTCGGAGTGACTGCAACCATGTCTCTGCTGGCTGTGACAGGTTGACCACATAGTGAGAAATACAGGGCTATTCTCCCAAGTTAAAGCTTTCCAGCGTGCTTTGGAAGTCGTCCAAAGGCTGTTCAAGCAGCACACAACAGCCGCGGGCCGTGTCCTGGGCGCCGTGCTCTGGGAACAACTTCCCTTCCAAATCAGGAACGATGACTGTGAGGTTTTTCTCTCAGAGCTTCCAAGGGAAACAAAGATATCCAGCAGCACCCAAAAGGCTCTAAAGCAGAGCATTATATTCCTATCAAACCATGATAACTCCGACTCTATCTCCAAGGGCCAGTTCTGGGCAGCAGAACGTGCAGGTACCCTCGCCGAGCGGCACCGCGCCAGGGACGCGGCTCCTCACCTCACATGTTCAGTAAGTCCAAACCTCACATGTTCAATATGTCCAAACCTCACATGTTCAGTATCTCCAAACCTCACATATTCAATACGTCCAAACCTCACATGTTCAGTATCTCCAAACACGCCAGGATGCCGCGCACCGCTAAGCTGCTGTGCAGCAAGGCTGGTGGTTGTTGTTGTTGCTGCTTTCTGGCTGTGTTAACACGTCACAGCAGCGAAGGCCTCGGCTTTTCTCGTGCTGTTAAACGCTGAAACTGCATCTTCCGTCCCCCAGGGTAAGTCACAGCGTCAGGCCAGCGTGTGTCTAAGGAAACAAAAGTTACACTGGTGTTTTTCCGGCACTTTTAAAACCAGGTGTTTCACCCAGCGCTGAGGGCATAATTAAAAAGCATTTCACAACGGCTGCAATTTTCTCCTTGGCCGTATTAGTGAATGCAGACATGCAACGGGGCTGGGTGTGCTTTTAAACAGCCTGCATTTACAGGCTGCTAGGCTAACAGCTGGCCATATAAACGAAGCTCCAGCAATTCTCCTAATCCGTATGGAGCGTTCGTGTTTGGACACGAACAACCTCCCTTCTCCGTTGCCACCCATGCGCTTCCTTCCACCCGCAGAACGCTTCGTTTCGGTGGCAAGTTCACATGAAACGTCTGGAGCCGCCGCAGTCAGTAGGAAATAACTTTGCCCGGGTTGCTGTAAGGAGAAGCGGTTACATAACGGGTGTGTTTTATGCCTCACATCACTAGGGCTCTATTCCATGCGCCACGGCTAAGGGTCACACGAAGGGCTGGCCGGAGACGCCGGGGACAGCAGGGCTGGCAGCAAGCTGCAGCGTTGCATAAGAGCAGAGCCGCTCCGTTCCTCCTGCAAAGGCCTATTGGATGCACCCAGGGCCCCACCACTGTCATTCTGCTTTACCCGTTACGCCGGGCAGCATAAAGAATTGCTTTGAAAGGGCCCTACAGCTCCAAGTTGACAGGACGCTTTGCTCCCGAGTGGAAGTTTCCAGCTTTTGCGCCAAAGATTGTAACACAGCTCAGGAAACAGGAGGATTCGAGCTGAAGCAAGTCCAGAAATTAAGAGCAAATTATTGATCACGCATTGAGATATACGACAAGGGAAATAAAATCTGTTTAGAAGCATAGCATAAATAATATGGTATGTAAATACTACGATCTATGAACATTCTCCCCCATATTCGGCATAAAACTTGATATGTACCAATTCTTTTACTTGATCCTCATGTGTTAAGGGAATGGGCACTGACAAAGAATAGCTGGAGAACTAATGATATATCAGCAGTGTAACATTTAAGTATAAGTATCAGCTAAAATCTATAGTATATACCTAGAGAGAAATTCTGATCAAATCTCTAGACTCTCTAGAGTCCTTGAACTTTCACACCGTGTAACACATTTTCTCTCATAGACAGATTTCATTAAACACCTGATGTGAAAAATAAATACCTGCAAATACCATGGTCCTGGGATGAAGCCTTTTTTCCCATCTGGCGCAGACGCTTTGCTCCTCCCACACTTGCCGAGGAAGCTGAGATTCCTGGAAAAGCTCTGAGTGGATACAAGCCCAAGAAACTGGTGCCCTCTAAAGGTAACCTGCACACTCTGGGAAGCTATGGGACAAACAGCAAATGTTTCTTATGGTACTTGGGCAACAGATGGATTCAAGGCAAAGTGGGTGGTATGTGTGTTCGGGAGAATCCTCTTTAGACCCTGCTTGGCTCAGAAACTTTCAAGAATAAATAATCTGCACAAAAAGGGAATGCACAAAGCAGTGCCACGGTCAGCAAGGTGCAGCGACTGCTGTTCAGTGAGCAACAGTACCAAAGGGTTCAAGGGGGATTCCTATAACTATCCTTTTTTTGTATCTAGAAAAAGGAATTACAAGAGAAACTTGACATTTCAACTATGAAAACCTCAAGCACGTCCCACTTCACAGATGAACCTTTAGCTCCAAGTTCAGCACTCCTTTGAAAATGTCCATAGCAATGTGTTTTGGAAAGCCAAAAGAACTTGAGAAATAACATTGTCAAGAGACGATTATAATTAGCAAGGTAATAGCCTGTGGCATAAAAATCCGCTACATGGAATTGTTTACAAAAGCAAAGCCATAATGAGATGACTTAAAATAGGCTGTTTAGCTAAGAACCATCCAAGGCCTCTGCTCTGTCAGTGGGTGGCTGAAGCTGCAAGTCCTTCCCACGCAGCACAGGGCATCTCCGACCACCCGCAGGTTCTGCCTCGCTCCCAAGCAGGTGGAGGCTGCTCCAGAGTTGGGAACTGCCCGGCTGGGATGCGAGAGGCAGGACAGAAACCAGCCCTCCTGAGACCTACACGCTGCAGGGAAGGAGCATAAAGACACGTGTGAAATTGCAGTTACTTAAGTAAGTTAAACCTAACAGCTCCCCCTGCAAATACACTGCTTTCCATGTCTTGGATTTAACGAGAAACACCTTGTGCGTGTGCTGGTGTGAGCACCACGTGCAGAAGCCAGTGGCACCCAGCGAGACCCAGTCACGAAGGCCCCAACTCTGTGCTAAGCATCACTGCTAAAGGCAACGCCAGGGAACAGGGATGTCGCCTCCCAACGCCAGGGAACACGGGTGTCACCCCCCATCAGGGCAGGGAACATGGGTGTCGTTCCCAATGCCAGGTAACACGGATGTCACTTCCCAGCGCCAGGTAACACGGGTGTCATTCCCAATGCCAGGTAATGGGTGTCACTTCCCAACGCCAGGGAGCAGGGACATGACCAGGTAACACGGGTGTCACCTCCCATCATGGCCAGGTCACAAGGGTGTCATTCCCAACGTCAGGTAACACAGGCATCACTTCCCAATCCAAGGGAACACGGGGGTCATTCCCAATGCCAGGAAACAGGGACACGACCAGGTCACACGGGTGTCATTCCCAACACCAGGGATGTCGCTTCCCAAGGCCAGGGAGCAGGGACACAGCCAGGTCACACGGGTGTCATTCCCAACACCAGGGATGCCGCTTCCCAACGCCAGGGAGCAGGGACACGACCAGGTCACACGGGTGTCATTCCCAATGCCAGGTAACACGGATGCCGCTTCCCAACGACAGGGAGCAGGGACATAACCAGCAGGGACACAACCAGGTAACACGGGTGTCATTCCAATTACGGCCAGGTAACAGGGGTGTCATTGCCAATGCCAGGTAACAGGGATGCCGCTTCCCAAGGCCAGGGAGCAGGGACACGGCCAGGTCACACGGGTGTCATTCCCACCACAGCCAGGTAACATGGGTGTCATTCCCAACACCAGGGATGCCGCTTCCCAATGCCGGGGAACAGGAACACGACCAGCTCACACGGGTGCCATTCCCAACGCCAGGGATGCCGCTTCCCAACACCAGGGAGCAGGGACACGACCAGGGAACATGGGTGCCATTCCCAACGCCAGGGATGCCGCTTCCCAACACCAGGGAGCAGGGACACGACCAGGGAACACGGGTGTCATTCCCAACGCCAGGGATGCCACTTCCCAACGCCAGGGAGCAGGGACACGACTGGGTCACAGGGGTGTCGCCCCTCCAGGGCGCTCTCCCCGCGGCGCCCTCGCTCCGGGCGGCTCCGCTCCGGCCCCGGCTTCGCGCCCGCCTCCGGGCGGCTCCGCGCCGCTTCCCGCCGCTTCCCTCCGCTCCTCCCGCGCGAGCGGCGCCTGCCGGGAAGGGGCCCGTGGAGGCGGAGCCGCCGCCGCCGCCATGGCCGCCGCCGCCGCGGGAGCGCTGCGCCTCGCCGCGCGCCGCTGCCTCTCCGCGCTGCTGCTGCCGCCGCC